TGATTTGTATAGTTTTATGATGTGGTATGTATACTTTGTAATATTTAGCCGTGATATTTATGTTTTTTGTAATCTTTGTATATAATGTTAATTTGTATACTTATTTCATATGGTTCTAATACTTTTTTATATTGCTTTGTATACTTTTATGATATAGTTTGTATACTTTGTATCATTGATTTGTAAAGGAATTCACAAATATTTGTATTTGTAAGTAATTGTATTTTGTATACATGGTATTATTAGTTTGTACATATTTATAATATGATTTTTACACTTTTATATCCGGATTTGTAAATCACATATTATAGAGTCTTTTTCATTTTCATTATAATGTTTCATTATAATGTTTGCACATTATGTATTTTATCTTTGTATATTTTACTGGTATGGATTGCATGGATGCTACTTCCATATTTTTATTATTAAAATAGAAAAAACTGGTACGAAAAAGAAACAAAGAAAAACGCATGTGAGTTGGAGGTTTAAAAATTATTTATAAGTGATTAATAAAGAAATTACTGAGCCAGGTGAATTATAAAAGAAAAAGGAGGAGACGTGCGCCGGTGCGCGACTGTGGCACGTGAACAGGAAAGATAAATAAAACAAAAAAATAATTATTTTTTATAATACCATAACTACCATTTTCATTAATTTAATATCTCTTCCCACTTTTAACCATTAAATTGGTATATCTAGATCCAAAGGCTAGGGAAGGCGTAGTCACTTGAGTAAAACCCCCTAGTCATGGGATCCGCACTCACCTTTTTATGAATGGTTGACAATCGTCAATTTGTGTCATTGTTCATAATAAAATTTTGTATTCTCGAGAGACTAATTATATAACTCTAACAAATAACAAAAGGTTAAATGAGAGACTATATAGGCTTCATTCTCATGAACTACAGTCCGTCTTAAGTTAATGGCCAAAACAAAAGCAAAACAAACATTAAGGTTTTCCGGTTAGGGCCTCAAGTGGAGTATTTACTTGAGTAATCTCAGGCTTGCTTGTGAGTTTGAGAGAAGGCTGCTTAGTTTTCTAACGGATTTAAGAGCTAAGCCCGCACGACCGAGGGTAAGTCCGTGACAGTAAACGAGGATGTCATGACTTGCAAAAATAGGGCTTAAAGTGTGAAACTAGAGTATCTATCTAGCTACTTGACCCACAACTCTTCATAACCTGGCTGAGCTGCTTGTGGAGATGTGGGCGCTTCGTGATGAGGTCAGGTGGTGCATTGCAGCGGGTCTTCAAGATGTGAGATTGGAAGGGAATGCCAAGGTGGTAATTCACAATGTTAATGCCATGTGTGTTAGGGATGTGAAGGGTGGTGCAATTTTGGAAGAGTTTCCTCGTCTTTTTCTATTAATGTTGGGGTACCATGTTAGATTTGTGAGTAAACATAATAATAGGATGACCCATTTTGTGGCTAAAAGAGCCCAATTTTTGTTTTTTTGGTTTGATTTTCGAGCGTGATTGTGCTCGAAATTGGGGACTCTGTAACTTGTTCGTTTCTTGATATTGCAATTGATCTTTTCATCTATTTTTTTTTACATCTTTGAAAATTTAACTATTATGCTGTCAAAGTTGAAAAATATTAGATAAGTAAATTGTATTTAGCTACATAAGAACATTAGTAACCCTATTCACAACAAATGAATTCAATAGGCTAGTTTGGCCCTGCTGTAGCTTTTGCAGAAGCAATTTCTGGCTTGAGATTTTAGATAAGTACTTTTCAAAAAAAGTAGTTGAGTGTTTGACTGAAAAACTATTAAATGTGCTTTTTAATATGACAGGCTGTGTAAAATGACTATAAAGGGCTTATAATATAAACTATGAATAAAAATTCTAAACAATAAAAAGTAATCAAAATGGATCTTGTTAGATTTCTTTTATATTAAATAATATGATTTCAATATTTATTTTAGTTTTAAAATGATATAAATGAAAGAAAATTATATTTTATGAAATAAATAAAAATATGGTAAGGATAATCTTGTATTTTCAAAACAACTGTTTGCAAAAGCTCCAAATCGGAGCTTCTGCTTTTAAGTTATACAAAATCGCTTTCCGACTTTTTAAAAAGCCGAGCTTTTAGAGGTGTTTGATCATGCTTCAGCTTTTAAAACCGAAAAACACTTCTAAAAGCCAGGCCAAATATAGAGAACATTTCATTAAGCAAAATAAGTACATATTACCGTCCCTATTTTTTACTGGGCGGCTAAACGTCGCCCTAATTTTACTATTATCGCCCTAATTTGAAATATGATATGATTAAATTATCCTTCTTTAATTAGTTCAATTCAAATTCAATAAAAACGAAAAATCCCCTATAATTTACATTCCCCTTTTACATCGCTGACCTTCACAGAGTCCTCACCAAACCCTTTGCCGACGACGTCCTTCTCCCCTGCGCTCCATCAAATACTGCATCTCATGATCGATGGAGTAACTAACTTACATATGATTCTCCGGGAATCCAAACGAGGAGAATTGAGAGAACTGTATAAGTGATAACTGTTCAAGCTTCCGCAATCCGCATCGCCCAGTCAATCGCCGTCGTCGCTATCTTCTCTGTTCATTGCCGGATGAGGACTCATCGTCCTTGTCCTCTTCAGACGCCGATCCCAGCGAAGAAGACAGAAGTCTCCGATTTCGCCATAATCTGAGCCGGCTCCCTTTTTCGTCAAATCCACCGTCGCCATATGCACCCGTTGCTCCCGTTTCATCGTCGCCGTGAACTTCACTGGCCGTCAACTGCCAGCTCCAAGTCGCCTTCAGCGACCACGCAGTGAATTCCGTCGTCAATCGCCGCCTCCAGCTACAGCTCCGCCTCCGGAAACACAAGTCACCGCCGCCTACTCTCTGTCTCTGTTCCGCCGCCGTCTCCATCAATCAGCCGTCGTGCCCGTCTCCGCTATCGGCGCCACTCGATCTCCTCATCCCGTCGGCGAGGATGCGGTGCACTGAACGAAGTTGAGCACCCAAATTTGACCCAGATCCTAGCCGCCCGTCGTCATCCCATTGTCGTTGGAATCGGAATTTTCCGTTTAAAAAACGAATGAAAGTGAGGCGGTCGGAAAAGAAAAGATCATATTAGTTAGGGCGATTATGGCCCAATTAAAAAAAGGCAATGTCTATTTTTTACCCAAATTTTTTCAAAATTCTTTTATTTTACCCAAACCTATCAAAATTCTATTTATTATCCAAACTTATTGTAAATGATCAAAGTCTGGGCATTCGTTCTGTGTTACCGTTACGGAACTCCACGTATGCATCCATGTCAGCATTCATTCCGAAATGAAAAAAAAAATCTCTTATATCACTAAAGAAAATAATTAAAAATTTAAAAACTCCATAGCTCTGCAACTCCATCGCTTCTTCTTCCTCTATTCTCCGCCTCCGCATCCGCCTCCACACCACAAAACCTATTTCCATTAAACCAACCCCAATGCCCAACCCCACACGTCGTCGCCGTCGCCCGTCGCCACCCAAGCCCGCCGTCAAAACTAAGGATGAAATCGACGTCATCGCCCGGCATCGAAACTGGAAATCCAGATCTATGAATCGGAACAACAAAAAATCAAAAGATGGGTTTTAGGGAATCGAGTTTGATGATGGGTTAGGAGCCGGAAGGGAGCAGAGATCGTGAGGATTGCTTGGACTGACGCTGACGTTGGTGCTGGTGTAGGAGGATTGGAGAAAGATGAAGACTCTACCACACAATCTAACTCGAGAAATCCATCCAATTCCAAACCCAGAGCAGCCAAAACAAAAGCTTACCAACAACAATACCGACACAAACAACCATTCCAGCAGCAGACTACTCCTTTCCTGTCGCCGTAGTGACTCATCACCATTAGCATAACGCCACAGTACACAACCACCACCATCCCCCATCCTAAACCCCCAGAAAGCAAAAAAAAAAGAAAAAATTCCTCCCAGATCAGGAAATAGCAGGTAGCTTCTCTGATTGGGCTTCCGATTCCGACAATGGCGACGAGGGGTTTCCCCATATGCCCCAGCAATGACGACGACGGCCAAATCGATCGAGATCGAGTCGTGCTCGGTGGAGATGTTTCACCGGATTTGGAGAAGCGCCGTTGAGGAGGAGGCCGACACGCTCCGTCGTCGGCGGTGGAGGCTGTAGTTGTATAGGTTGAAATTAGGGTTTATGCAAATTTTCTCTCTCCCCTGCTTCCCTCTGTAGTACCAGAAAAGGGGATTGTTTGTTTCCAGTTTTTTTATTTTTTTGAAGATTGAGGAAGCAGCAGCTGCGGCAGGGGAGAGTTGGCGGAGGGGAGAGGAAGGCATTTTTAAATGTTTTTGTTTTTTGTTTTTTTAATTTTTTTTATTAAAAATAGTAAATTATAGTATTTTGACAGCCCCACCTGGGAAGCCAACTCATCATGGTCATGCTTAGTCAGCATTAATAACAGAAAAGTTGACGGAGAGTTAACGTTTGGATAATTATTAGGAATTCAATAGGTTTGGATAAAATAAAAGAATTTTGAAAAGGTTTGGGTAAAAAATAGACATTGCCCTTAAAAAAAAGGACAAAGAAGTAATTTTAAAACTTTAGATTAGGGCGATCAGGGCGAGATTTAGCAACCCCTAAAAAATAGCCTTTGGCCTTTTTGGTCACGGTTCGATTTACTGTAAAGAAGGTTCGATTCAACCGTGAAACCTAAACCGGTTTAGCAGCCCTAACAGGGAAACAAACCGCTAAAAGCCCCAATTACGTCCAGCGCGGAGACTGAGAGTGGGAAAACCTTTTAATCTCGTCGTCCACCGTCGCCGGCCTGTTAGTACTAGGGTGTAACTGTGGCCCCTACTACCCGGCCCGGCCCAACCCTATGGGTCGGGTAGGGTCAATTAGTGTTTAGGGCCAAAATAGGGCCGGATCACATTCTGATCCTAGAGGATAGGGTATTTTTGAGTTTTATCCTTAAAACCCATTCAGACCCATTTTTACCCATTTTAACCCTAAGTCCCTAATTACCCAACCCATTTCTGTTCCATCCCTTTCTTTCCTCGCAATAGTATCGATTGCGCTATCATCTCCATCATCGACCTCTTGAACTCCTCCTTCGGGTTCGTCAATTTCTTCACCACCGCCATCGCTTCCCCCATCGTCGACCACCCGCCGCCGCCCGCCAGCACCTGCCGCCGCATCTCCTTCATCCTCTGTGCCGGTCCAGCACTCGGGTTCACCCTCCCGCCGCCGCCCTCCCCTGCCCCCTGCCGCAGCAGCTTTCCTTACTCGTTCTCACTCCTCGTCGTCTCCCCGGGGCCGGATTCAGCCTTGTTGGGTAGTTTCTGGGTAAGTCTCCAACGCTAACCTCAATTCTATACTGGGTTAATTGGTTATGGGGAAAGAATGGTGAGATTCAGCTGACGAGAATGGGAGAAGCTTTGTTTGCTTTTCAATTCCTGTCAGAGGAAAGCTGTCGTTGGGTGTTTGAAGGGGATCCCTGGCACCATCAAGACAATCTTTTTTTCTTCATGAAATGGGATCCGGGATTTGCCCACTTGAGATCGATATCTCAGCTATCACAGTTTGGGTACGATTGTCTAATTTGCCGACAGAGCTTGCTTTGAAGGAAGGGTTGGGGTGGATTGCTAGTTCATTAGGTAAACCTTTTTGTATGGATTATTCCACTAGGAAGGGGTTGAAGTGGGGTGAGGCTAAGGTTTGTGTAGAAGTAAAGGCAACTATGAAATGTATTACTAAGCTCAGTGTTACTCCAGATGGGATGCAAGAGATGACTATCGATGTGGCTTACAACCATATGCCTAAATCTTGTTAGTTATGTAAAGTAAGGATTATGGGCTTAATTCCACTATACAAGTTTGCTCCCCCATAAAGCCATGACCAAATTTTTACGATTCCCTTACTTGTTGCAGCATTATGCTTACTGCGACTCCAGGATTAGTCTATTCGTGTATTCAGAAGTCAGAATGTGTAATGTTGATTGTGATCAATGCAGTCAAAATCGCGCTTTAAAACTTAAAAACTTACGATTTTACGCTTTTAGGTCACCAAAACGCTTTCGTTTCCATATAAAAACTTAAGTGTATAAAATCGGACTAAATTGCGCTTTAAAGCTTAAAAGCTTACGGTTTTACGCTTCTAGTTCACCAAAATGCTTTACGTTTTTACGCTTTTAGTTCACTAAATGAGTATTCTTTTTATGAAATTAATTATAAAAAGTATATTTTAAAAGTAAATCACCAACAATATGATACATTTGAGATTCAGGTATTTGGATGCATTCTCAACTTCAATAGAGTAATCTAATTCACCAGCTAGACTTTTCTCAAATTCATTAGCATAGAGGGAAAAGTGGTTTATTGTTAAAATTTATATTTACGAACTTATTATTAAGATGCTATAAGTTGTTTTACTTTAGGCATGAATCGCATGTATTTATTAACTTATCTGTGCATTCATATTTTGCATAGCATATGTCCTACTTAATAGATTTTTAGTTATTTTTCAGTATGCGTCAAAAACTTACGCTTTTACGCTTTGATTCTACGCTTTACGATTTTATCCCTTTTCCGCTTCTAGGTAGAATCGCGCTTTTGACTGTATTGATTGTGATTCATGGTTCCTGTTCTTTTTGATGCATTTGTAGATTGAACAGTACAGATCAGAGATTAGAAAGCTCCAAGAATCTGAAGCAGAAATCAAAGCGTTGTCGGTCAATTATACCGCTCTTTTAAAAGAGAAAGAGGTACTTCCAATGCACTACTGCTATGTTGTTTTCAAAGCTTGGAACTGCTGCACAGTGTGATTTTCTTACATACCAGAAAGTTCATTTGATGGTCCTGTGGTTGCAACTTTGTTTCAAGGATAATTGATTTATAAAAGTTTATTGATTTTTTCTTAATGATGACGAGGATTTCATAATCTGTGATGCATGTCTGTAGTGACCTGATGATTTGGGCGGAATCAAGGATGATTGTATAATTTAGTGTTTGTTAGCTTCTATCCTCTGTACGTGAAAGTTCAGTTGTTCGTTTCATAGTTATATACCATGGTTTTAGTGCGCTACATAGGACCGTGATGAGATTGGTGTATCTATTAGCCAAAAGGGTTGTTCGCAAGTGCTACTCTCTTGTCATTTTGTGATCATCATATGAGTTTTACTTTGGCCAACGAGTACATGACTTATGTTCATCTAAGTTCAGATCAAGTTGATTTGGTAGTCGAATCAAATTCTGACCAAAATACCTAGGCTCTGTTGTGTCTAACAAAGAAGAACTTGGTTTTCAATTTACACGCTTTGGACCCAATTCCACAAACACTGAATTCGTTCTTCCACTGTAGCTAAACAGTGCATGCTTGTTCGGTTACACAGTGCTTGCAGACAGCCAATTAGCAAATTCACTATCAAAATTCCAGGAATTCAGTCACCCCTTGATCCCTACACAGTACACTCTAAAACCCTCAAAAGTCCAGGAATTCAGCCAATTACCATGTTTACCTTCAGAGACCAAAGTTCATAAAAAATGGGAAGTCATTTGCTTAGAAGTCATAGAGACCAAAGTTCATAAAAAATGGGAAGTCATTTGCTTAGAAGTCATTGTGCTTGTATACTTATCTATTTCCTTCCTATTCTTTTTTTCCTTTTCAGTGAGCTACAAAGCTAGTCAACATTAACAACAGTATTAAAGGTGAGAATGTTTAAATAATTTCTTTATTTTTTGAATTAGTTTAAATAATTTCTTTATTTAATTTAGATTATTTTTGTTATGAACTCATTTAAATTTTCTAGTATATACCTGCAATTTTTTGAAATTTAATAGGGTTAATAGCATTTTGTACCCCTCTACTATGGTAAGTTAACAAATATACCCCTCTACTAAATTTTTGCACAAACTTACCCTTTTAGTATCAAAACGTAACGATTTTACCCTTTCGTCTAATTATCCGTTAAGTGACCGTTAAATAGACTGTGAAATGACCAAATTGCCCCTCATTTACCCCTAAACACTCCTAATATGTGTTTAATTAATAGTTATTTTATTTTATTTATTTAATTTAATTCATTAATCATTACCCATCATCCACACTCGGCAGAAGTTTCCGCCTCCCTCACCGAGGCGAAACCCCGACCTCTTCTCCCTTTTCAGTTGCTCCAACGAATTCTACACCTTCTTCTTACTCTGTATATTGATTGTAGGTACTGGAATCACATAATCAAAGAGAGTTGCGTCGGTAGGAAGAACCCGAGTATAGGTGCGGCAGCAGAGTAGATGGATCGCCACGGAAGTGCTGGCGTCGGAACGTCTTGTGAAAATTTGGGAAGTTGCCGTCTACATCAGGGAGAAGTTGGGGAAGCTGGACCCTGCTGTGTGATCGAGGGGAGTTACATATGCGTTGAAACGTCACGGGGAATCCGGAGCAGGTGCCGGTGAGGAGATGTCGTCTTGTCTCGCCGGTTCTCTCTACTCCAACTGCCGGCGAGGAGGTGCCGAGCATGTGTCGATGCAGAGTCGAGCTTCTGATCGCAAGGGGAGAACTCAGGGGGAGGCCTTCTGTATTAGCTTAGAGATTTTTAATTTTTTTAATTAATTGATTTGGAAAACAATAAAATAATCAACCGAAGTTAGGAGCAAAATGGGGGTAATTGGTTCATTTCACACCTCATTTAACGGCTACTTAATGGATAATTAGACAGAAGGGTAGAATCGTTACGTTTTAATACTAGAAGGGTACATTTGTGCAAAAATTTAGTAGATGGGTATATTTGTTAACTTATCATTGTAGAGGGGTACAAAATGCTATTAATCCTTATTAAAAATAAGTTTAATAACTTTGGGATGATTACATTTTTTCGTAATTTGATTACGTTGATTGATATGACCCTGGTTAGGATCACGATCAGAGTATCCAACGCAGCCAACAAGAATTGCGAAGTTTGTGAGTTGAATCACAATCCGAACGTGACGACGAATCAATCGAACAACTTTCTCAGGGGAAGAGGCTCAACGATTTAGGGTAGAACTCCCACAACTGGTTGTGATTCACCAGCTGATGCTTGAGCTTGATCTCGAGCTTGGATTGATCCCAAACACACAATCAAACACGATCAAACGAAGATCATGAATTAAACGAAAACAACTTATGGTTAGGGATGGCAATTTACCCACCCATGGGTAATTTTGCCCAAAACGTAATTTTCCATCGATATTTTGAGGACTTATATGCAAAAAAAATTAAATTTAGGTACTAAATATGCATATCTATTAAGTTTAGGTACCAAACTGTAATTTGTATTTGGGCATGGGTACAAACCCAAATCCATTTGTTATAAACCCAACCCAACCCAAAGTAAATGGGTATGGGTACAAACCCATCAAACTTTACCCATACCCATATATTTGGATTTCATACCCAACCCAATTGGGTTGGATAGTAAAATACCCATGAGTATGGGCAAAATTGCCATCCCTACTTATGGTTATTCTTCTTCAATCTCCATTACACGTTAATTGAAAACCTATAAATAGACAATGGAACACTACGAATCACAAGAGATACTATCCTAACCAAACAATGAAATGTAAACTTAAACAGAATCCAAAAAGAACAATGAAACCAAAGGTTTCTTCTCGGCCAAGTAAGTGCCTTGAGTTGTACGTTTGTAGTGTCCTGGGTACCAACTTGGGGCTCTTAGAAATTGGGGTAAATCGCCTTGTCAAACTCATCCAACCCCTTCACGTGGAAGTAGAAGTTTCCTTCTTGCTTTTGAAACGCCCAGCTGTTCCAAATCCTCTCCCATTATCGAGAACCAGCCTTCCAAAGTTGGTATCTCAACACTACAATCTGCTCCTTCTATACTTGGACAAATCTGACCCTTCCTGCCTGTGTTCAAGTAGCCTCCTTAGCTCGTTATGGAGTTCTAGTTGGAGTCGAGCAGTGCTTGATGGCTTTCTGGAAAGCTTGCAACTCGTACTATCCCGACGGGTGAAATTCCAACCATATGGAAACCCAGAATTCAAGTTATAAGGGCTGGAAATAGGGTCCTGAACACGACATTCAAAATCATCAACACACTTGAATTGAGTTTCCATTTGACCCGTTAAGCACCGAGATGAGACCTCATCAGGCCCTCCCTGTTGAAAAAGCTTTGCCCACAAAGCTTGAGTAGGCTTGTAGCTAAAACGATGCAAGGTAGCTTCCCAAACAGGATCCCAAAAGTCGAACGTGCCTCTCTTTGATTCGATTCGTCTTTCATCTTGAATTAGATGGTTTATGATGATCATTGGGTCGACAAATACCTCATACAGGTCATAGGTTGTTATCCACACGAACTTCCCAGCAATTTCCTGCCGAAAATACGAATATTTTGAAGCTGGAAATTTTCCAGTTTCCGGTGGTCGGCGATGAAGCTCCGGGGACAGTCTCAAAATTGGGGATTCTTCATATGTGCTTCGATTGTCCGATTCGTGGTTTCCAAGAGGTTTACCTGGACCCCAATTGTCATCCCCACATAGTTCGGAAGCTCGACGTTGTCCCATACTGAACGACGAGCCCTCCAAGTTCTTCCCGCACTTTTCGCCGTCGAACTCCGGTGACCGGCAAATTTGAAAAGCCAAATTGGGGCTTTCTTTCTGGAACAGTTTCGACCGTATTTTTCGTTTGCGACACGTTCGTGATCCCTCCAGCAACGGATTTCGCCTCTCAATTGGCGCAGAAACCTCCTGGAACTCCAAATTCGACTTCGAGTTCTTGGCATCGAAGAACAGCCTTTCTAGGCACTAAGAACTCCACTTCGGATCCAAGGTGGTTGGGGTCGTGGTTCCGTTTTGCCAAATGCTGGAGCTTGTTGGGTGAATTTGAGGCGTGACCACACTTCCATGACTTCCGTAGTCGCCAGCGTAAGTCCACGTCGTACGGCCTGCTTCAGGGGAACGGCAGAACAGAGCAGCTCCCGCCGTTGCCAAATTTTGAGACGGTGACCCTGTAGACTCATCAATAGGTATCTCTGAGCCACCAAATTTTGTCCAGGCCGCTTCGGGGAGGACGCTGAGCTATTGCCAAGCTCTGTGAAGCTTCGCGCAATCTTTCGTTGGTCTTCGATCACCTCAGACGGAGATAATGGCAAGAGTTCCAACGTCCTTCTTCCATGGTTGAAAAAGTATGAGTTGGTACGCCCATTGTGCATTACTTTCTTGTCGTACTGCCATGGACGCCCCAGGAGAAGATGGGTGGCCTGCATTGGGACGACATCGCATTTGGTACTGCCCCTGTACGTGCCGATCTCAAATGGAACGGTAACTCGCGCATTCACCCGGACTGATCCACAATCATTCAGCAATCTCAAATTATACGGTTCTGGGTGCTTTTCAGTCTTCAATCCCCACTTCTTTACTGCTTTCGCACTAACAACATTCACACAACTATCTCCGTCAATAATCATAGAAGCTACATGCGTGTTTACCTTGCAGCGGGTATGGAAGATGTTGTGCCTCTGATTTGCCTCGGCCACTGCGGAGATGGTTAGTGCTCGATGATTAAGGAAGTTCCCCTTGGGAGGCTTGATTTCCACTGGACGATCATCTAAAAGGGGACCAGGTGGTGGTTCTGCCTCAATTGACTCATCCACATCAGTATCTTCATCCTCCTGCTCTTCCCCTTCTTCGTTTTCATCAAATCCATACTCCCCATTGTCAAGCAGAACTAGTGCTCGCTTGTTGGGACATTGGTCAGCTTTGTGACCCTTCCCTCGACACTTGAAGGAAGTGATCATTTCCATCTTCTCATTAGTATTAGGTCTGAATGGAGTTGGAATTTTATCTCCAACACTACAAACTGGAATGGGGGAAGCAGGTTCCGGTTTTGAGCGTGCAGCTCCATTGTTGGCAGGGAAGTTCCTGTTTCGCCCTGATGTCGACTTGAGTTGTTGCTCACCTTCATCGCCAAGTAGTAGACATCCTAGAGAGTGGCAAACTGCCTCAACTCTACCTCTCGCTTGATTTCCCGGTCCAATCCACACAAAAATCTGGAGATGGTTGCTTCCCTGTCCTCCCTTACATCAGCTCTTAACAGCAGAAGTTCCAGCTCCTTATAGTACTCATCTACAGTCCGAGAGCCCTACCTGAGACCTAGGAGAGCCTCATGTACCTCCCTCAAATAGTAGCTTGGAATAAAACGATCCCTCGTCACACTCCGAAGCTCGTCCCATGTCGCAATAGGGGCCTGCAAATTCATACGTCGACGAGCTTGGGTTTGTTCCCACCACACAGCTGCGTAATCATCAAATTCGTAAGTAACATGAGCTACTTTATGGAATTCAGGACACGGTTGCGCAACGAAGTATGCCACGACCTTTCTTTCCCAGTCCAAATATTCAGACGCGCTGTTATTACCCCTGAACTGAGGCAACTGCAAGCCAGGCATTCCTGTCTGCCCGTAAAATCCGGTGGCCTGGAATCCTCCCTGTTCTTGCAACCGGTCAGGGTAATACTCAAC